TGGGAGGTGCCTGAAGAACAATTTAGGTTTATCTCCAGCTTTCTCTTTTTCACTCTGTATTTGGGCTGGTTCAAGGGCACACTGCCTCTGCCCATTTCTCAGAGAAGGAAAGGTGCAGGGTGTACTGGGAGCATATGGCTTTGCCAGGGGTCAATTCTGGTCTCCCTGACTCTCTCAGACTATATAAATTCAAGATCAGGAGGGTCTCTGTGACAAATGTGATTCCAACTCCTCTAGAGCCTCTGGATGCTGGGAGCTGGGAGGGCCTGACACTCTTCATCAGATAGCATTTCCTAGGAGATGATGCAACCACTAACACCCCAGTCCCCAAGTACCTCCATTTAACAACCTGGTGAAGGAGAACCACAGCAGTCTAGTAAGTGCAATAGGAGCACACGCCACCACACCACACAATATGCAAAAGCATGCTAAGATCAGGTTATAGGGCAGCAAAGCACAGCTGGGGTCCGACAGTCTGGGTTGGATGACCCCTCTGCACTTACTTGCTTTGCTACCTTAGGCAAGTTACTTACCTCCTCAAGTCTTGGTTTCCTTATTTGTAGCAATAGTACTTATCTCATAGGGTTTTTCTGAGAATTGAGAGAGATTGTATATGTAAAATGTTCAGCAGAGTGCAAAGCCAAAGAGCCATGGAAATAGAATGCATTCACTTCTAACTAAAACTTGCCTGAGTTAAAACAGGAGAAATAAATGGTGTTGTGAGCTAAGCACTAAGTACTGGGAGTAGCTAAGAGGAGGTGACATCCAGTTAGATTGACATCCTCTTAGATTTCAAACTGCTAGTCTGCTGTGGGTCAGAGGTCAAATGGGTAAGCTCTGTGAGGACAGAGATCCTAGGCCCTACACAGTGCCTGGCTCATAGTAGGGCTCAATAGATATTTTATAGATGAATGGATAGATGGATGGATGGATGGATGGATAGATGGATGGATGGATGAGCCAAAAGCAAAAAGTGCTTCTTTTCTATTATAAAGAGGACTGCCACTGAAGAATTGATCTCCTGTGCCCCTCTCTCAGTGAATGGCACCTGCTGTCTACCATGCTATATAAGACAATAAGTTGGGTGTGCTACTTGGTACTCTTTCTCACTCACTCCTTAACCAACCAGTGCTGTGAATTCCACCTCCTAAATTTTAGCTTGTGAATCCATTCTCTTCTCCTGAACTCTATTGTCACTACCTTTGTTCAGGCCCTTCCCAATTGTCTCCTGGATTTCTATACCACCTCCAAACTATTCTCCGGGCTTCCAGTCTGTACCCACCCCCTTCCAATCCACTCTCCATACTTGGTACAGAATGATCTTTAAAAAGCACAAACCTGATAAGGTCACTAGTGCCACCACTCTCACCACTACACCCACTTAAGGATGATCCATGACAAACTATAGACTTTAAGATAAAGCCAAACCCCGAAGCATGGCATCCCCAACCTTTATAATCTTACTTTTGTCTGCCTCTCCAGCCTTACTGGCAAATGCTCCCTCTTTCTCTGTGCAATTGGCTTATCTTCTTCCTCTACCTGGAATGCTCTTCCTTCAGCTTCTCTGTTCCCTTCTACATCCTTCAGAATTCAATCCTGGCATTGCCTGCCTAGGATCCTTTCTCTAACTACCCCTGACCCCACTAAGAACTGGATGTCACCTCCTCTTAGCTACTCCCAGTACTTAGTGCTCAGCTCACAACACTATGGTCTGTTTCCTTGCCTGTCTTTCCCAGGTGCCTGGTGCATAGAGGGTTTTGTTTTGTTCTTCATTGTAGCACCAATAGACCCCCATCTAGTCCTGGCACAATGAGTGCTTCAATTGATAAATGCTTTTTTTCACACCAAATATGCATTTTCTCAGAAGCATAGTTTCAATCAACATCTTTAGATAATCACGTGATCAGTCAAGAAAATTAACCAAGAATTAGGGTGTGGTCTATGACTCTGGAAAAATCTATTAGATTAGACATGTGGGGAACATATGTTTCCACTCAAAAGTCAAGACACATGATCTGACAAATACAATCACATCTCTTTCTGTACCAGAAAGATTTGAATGTATAATGTACTAGTATGTGGCTACCCAACCTGATCTGTCATTTTTGCCTTACTATGTTATCTAAATATGCCAATGCAAGACATTAAAATAATAGCTAAAAGTAGCTAATATTCTTGTTGAGCTTACGATGCAGTAAGCATTATGTGATGTTGTAATCATCTCATCTAATCTCAACTGTACTTTGAAGCAGATCTTTTTACTATCTCCATTTCACAGATGAGGAAACTGAGGCTTAAAAACTTGCCAAAGGTCACTCAGCCAGCAATGGGCATCTAAGCAGCAATGGATGAGTAGTCTGTTTGATCCTTTCAGTCATCCTTCAATACTGACCTAACCATGACCTCTTAACCTTATTAGATCTTCAAAAAAGCCACTTTTAGACAAAAATAGCTTGTGGTTTCCGGAAATTTTTATTAAAACTCTAAATCTCCTGGCAATAACTTTCAAAAGTCATGATTCAGACCTGCAGTGATATTTGAAAATGGAATCACAAAGCAGGTCTCCTGGCTACAGAGATGCTCTCACTGCTGGAGAAGAATGCTCAACCTTGACATTTATGACAATCTGTGTTTTTCCTGTTATTGGATCTTTTGCCATAATTTTCTATTGAAAGACACTGACCCTCATTCTATTCTCCCTGAGAAATCATCTCTTTCAGGTTTAATCAGAATGTCTTCTTCCTTAGTTGTCATTTCATTGGGATCTACAGCAATGTTTCTGAAAGCCATGACAACTGATGACCTGAGTAACAATCTTTATTACCTGGGCACTCACAAAAATGCATATTCCTGGGCCCCATCCCACAACTATCACATAGAATCTCTGCACATGGGAGCCCAGGAAACAGCATTTTATTCACATCTCTCAGGTAATTCTTATGAATGTTTCAGAATCACAAATGTAGTCTCCAGGCGCTCACAAGTCCAAGTGTGGTCCCTAGACCAACATCAGCAGCTTGTTAAAACACAAGGAATTCTTAGGCCCTAATCCTAAACTACTGAATCACAACTTGCATTTTAATTAAATTCCCAGTTGACTCATATTTACTCTGTCATGTTGTGCATGCAGAGAACTGGTGATCTAGAACAGTGTTTCCTAACACTTTTCATATCATGACATGCACAGAAAACAAAAGCATTTGTTTGGCATACAGATGAGAATGCCTGCTGTGACATTGCCTGCCCCAGACCCCAGCCTGGCCACCCTGAGGCTGAGGAGATTGATATCATGGGCATTCCTGTGACGCATTTCACTGGGTGAGAAGCACTGGTCTACTTAAAGCACACCCGGTTCTTCTAACTTTCTTCATGAGGCATAACTCCCTAAATCTTGCTTATTCTTATTTCCCTCATGATTTATCATTTCTTTTCCTGCAAGCTAAGAGTTAGAAAGACTAGTTCCCAATCAATTCGGTCTTAGAAATCTTCAAGCAATGGAAGCACACAGTCTCATCTAAGTTCTAGGTGGACTCTGAGAAATGCAGAGAGAAAACTTGTGTCTGTATACTGAAGAATCATCTGCTTTGGCCTAAGAAATACTGGAAAGAAATAAGAGCCTTCTTGCCTCTGAAGAATGCTCCTTTCCCCTTAGTTCACAAATCTGAGCATGAAGGATCAGCAACACTCAAGGTAGCATCCTCTCTACTAAAGACTGTGCCAAGAAGAATGTGATTTTGTTTAATCTTTAGCAAAACCTCCCAGCACATAAACTGGACAGGTATCCCTTCTCTTAGCCAGCTCCTGATAGTGGGACAACAGTTGGGATGGAGGGAATGGAATACCTTCAGAAACACTTCCTGGTGAGACCATCTGATCAAAACAACCAAGTGTCAGGACACACCATCTGACTTTGCAAAGCTCTCAGCTACATGGGAACCCCATTGTTTATTCCCACTAAGGAAAATGTTGAAAAACATCAAACTCAAAATAGTGAGCTCTTACTTGGAAGCAAATATGACCAGGTCTACCCCTAAATGAAAGATGGTCATGGCCTAAGCAAATGCAATTGAGGAATAAGTGCGGAAAACAATTTCTATAAAACAACTCACTTTTTTATTTTTTCTCTTTCCACCTTGCCTGCAAATCTGTTCCCTCAAGTCTCAAAAGGCTGTCATATCTTCCCTTTGTACCCCAACTATACCCAAGAGAGGGCTCTGCCTGAAGTCTCTGTGCATTAATAGTAGAAAGGACAGTGATCAGAGCCCACTGTCATTTGTCACCACTGCACCCCAACTATACCGAAGAGAGGGCTCTGCCTGAAGTCTCTCTGCATTAATAGCAGAAAGGACAGTGACCAGAGCCCGCTGTCATTTGTCACCACTGGTTGATTTTCACGGAACAAGGGCCCACAGGCCTTTCTCCTGCTCTGACCAGGAAGGTCAGAGATCACTTGGCAATTCACCCAGAGTAGTCATGGTGTCTAAGAAATGAAAAAGTTTTTTCTCTAACTTTGTAGCAAGAACATTTAGTAAAAATAAATAAATAAATAAATAAATAAATAA